GGTGTACGACTTCGAACGCTCGGACGCGTTGACGACATGCACTAGGCGAAGATGACGGGGAGTGTACAGGAAGACGCGTGCGCGCATGACGGCGTCAGAACCACGGTTTCGATACCCCATGGTATGCTCACTGCCTTTCGCCGTTGCGTCCGTTGGCATGCGCGGCCGCTTCAGCTCCCACTGCCAGTTCGCTGATTGCATCCTTCGTAGGGTCAATCATGTTCGTATGCACCCGTATTGCGCCTCAAATCGATCTGCGGCCTGCATCGCGGACGACGGTCGCTGATAGCTCCGGTAGCTCCCCAGCTACTCCCACAATTACCTCGTCACCTTACATCTGTCTAGATCAGCTGAACGGAGAATCTCTGCTCCTGGAGCAATCCCCCGTTGCCAGTACTCCGACGCTCTCGTGGACGCCGGATGGGGAATATCGATGTCGGCATTGCAAGGGAAGGACTACGTTGATATCGGGACATGGACCCGGAGGCGAGAAGATCTGTGATTCGTGAGTACGTCAATTTCCTGCGAAGATCAGCGAGCTCATCGTCGATCGGCGCAGGTGTGGCCTGAAGGCGGTGAGGCAAGGTCCAGAGTTCATTGTAACAAAGGCTCGCAGCGATTTCTTTACGAACGTCAATCCCGCCGACAAAGCGCCGCCTGTTGGAGTATCTCGTTGCGCGGACTGTAAGACACAGAAGTCCGTCGCTTGGAGGAAAGGTCCAAGTGGTACTCGCGACCTATGCAACAAGTCGGTGCCCTCTCTTCTCCCTTCGTACAATGCGACACTGAACCCTTATCTGCCAGGTGTGGATTGGTCTACTCCCGTGCGCTTAAGAAAGCCCGTGAATCGCAAAGAGGCAGCGAATCTGAGGCGTAGTTCGGTCTCCCCCGCCGATCACAGCAGCAATGAACATGTCTAATTACCCTAGCTACTGCAAGTGAATATTGCTTTGCCGTTTGCATAGAGAGCCAGCTCCGATGGCAGTTTCTGCAACTTGCTTGCGGTTCCGTGCGCTGTCGACATACGCATCGTGTCGCGCTACGCGATGTCGGTGCCCTCGACGTATTTGATATATCCGTACATCAATAGCAAAACACGGTGCGAAACCACGCAAGGGCCCCTTCAAATCGACCTGGGAGCGCGCGAGACGCGCGCGCGTAGCGGAAGCTTCTGTGGCGCCCGACTACTATATAACCCTCGTTGTATTCTCTCTCCAAACCCCGAATGTTCTTGACACATCATACCGGCATGCAGTCTAGCAACACGGTACTATGCGGTTTCAACAGTGACCGAGCCTAGACGCTGACGATGACTTATGCTAGGTGCAGATCCCTTTCGCCGCAATACTGCAGACACCGCGGATCTGTTCAACCTTCCTTCCGTACCTATCGCCCCAGGACTTCTTACGGTTGTACAGAACTTGCCGCCTCGCCAGGGATGTTGTCGCCACTTTCATCAAGGTCGCTTTCGACGTGAATGCCACCCTGAAGCGATTTGTACCGGACCCCCTCGCCTTTCGCTCTCTCCAAGCCCGCACAGGCACCCTAATCTCAGGGTCCATCGCGCTACAATTCTTTGATCGCGCGGTCTATCCCGAGTCCGATCTCGACCTCTACGTCCACTCACAACACCGTCGCGAAGTAGGCATGTGGCTCTTGAGCATGGGATACACCTTCTTCCCTAGCCGCAGACAGGATCCCCGCTTCAAGACCACTGTTTTAAACGCCGAACAAAGCAGAGGTCTCCACTATGTGATGCCTGGTGTTTCTGCGATCTACACGTTCCGGCGCCAGGTGGGCGAGCAACACCTCAAAGTTCAGATCATTGTTGCGCGTCGGGCTCCTATGGAGGTGGTCTTAGGTTTTCACTCAAGTATGTGTCGAGAATCTCTACTGCGTGCAAGTGACCCTCTAACTTTCCCGCAGCATGCGTCATGAACGTGATATCGTATGAGAAGGCGTATTGCCTCTTCCCTCGAGCGACTCTGGAGGAGCGTCGATCGCTACTCAGCTGGTCTTCTCAAGGCCGTTCCAAGAGACGGGCTGAAGGCCTAGTGAAGTACGCGTCCCGAGGCTTCAAGATGCTCACACACCTCCACTTCGCCGAGTATGCCACACATCAACCCATCCGCTCCTTTCCGCTCAAACCACGCTGGATCGGCGACACCGATACTTGGGTTCTTTCACTGGACGTTACAGACGTTGTCCCACCACCTTCCCCAACTATGTATTCATCTGCCAGGGTTCAAGACCCCGTGGTAGTCACCGGTTTCTCTTTACGTTATGAGGAGGTCGACGGGGCGATCATGGAGTTCACCGTGGTAGAGAGCCCCGCGCTCAAGTTCGCCTGTGTCATCGGCGACAAGGACTTGGCGGATTATCTGGGGCGTGTCCTACTAGTCAAGACTCGCCAGGATCAGTACAAGGTTTCAAAGTGTATGTTAGAGGACTGGAGATAGTACGTCGATTTGTCTTTCGCACGACGTGTTTGGCTGACTGTGTCAACACGCGCAGTTGGGATAACGAACTACCCGGTATGTGTATAGACTACATCGCTTCTACGGTCTCGAGGAAGATGTTGTGCCTACGAGGGTGATTACATTGTGGGTCTATGTCGAGGGTATCAATTTCGGATTGGACCGTGAGCCCAACAGCGGGAGCGACAACTTGGTCAGGGTCCCGGCACGCGCGTGTCACATACATACACGATAACATCCGCTTTAGGGCACTTCTGACTGGTTTTCGTACGTTGAACTCACCAATTTAGGACGAGCCAGCAGTGAATGGAGCCGCGGGAATGTGAACTGCGGGCTCGGAGGTCCTCAATCCTGTGTGGTCTCTAGTTCTGCCAGGCCACATTGAACCAGATGAGGCTCGCAGCAGTATTGCAGCAGGTGCAGCGGACGATGATCGGAATACCCCGGTATTGGAACTCCGCTACGGCCGTCGTCCTCTACCGCTTTGTACCACGTTCTCGCGCGACGCGACCCCGCCCGCGTGCGCGTGTCCACTCCTCACTCGCACGATCCCTCGTGCGCCGCCTGATCGTTTGCCTGCCATCGCAAGCTTATTCTTCGTTCATCCTGCCGCGGGATCCTACTATGCTTCGCGTCGGTGTACACTCTTGAGCTGATGTGCCAATGGCCGACGCTTTGTATGGACATCCCCGCCTCAGTAAGCCTGGTGATGTGCTATTCGAAGAATCGGGGCCTAATTATAGCTGTGAAGCAATCGACGCCGCTAGCAAGAGACCGTAAAGTTGCGACTACGGAGTGGACCGAGGTCGTCGATACGGCTGGCGAATCATATGGCGAGGACCAAGTGATTGCCTACTACTATGCTAGAAACGGAATGCGGCCATCTCATGCGCCTCGAGCGGTGCCTATATACTCGCAGAGTATCAAAGACGACTCTACTGGTGGGTAGCATGCTGAGTAACCGATTGATCGACTGATCACAATAGGTTTACAACTTGGACGAACAATGGCCGAAGACTACGTCGCCATTCGTCGCCGGTTTGGGGAATCTTGCTCCCATTCTTTGGTCCCTTTGTTCGACGAAAAGGGTCAGTAGCACCTGCGCTTGGCTCTCAAGCTGGGCGGGCACCAGGAGCTGGCTTTACGCCAGAACTCCTACCACGACATTCGTGCATCCACCATGGCCCACGCCCCGTCTGCCCCGTCTCATGTCCCACTGGCCAACACGGCCGACCTCCTCGCAAAGTGCATGCTTATTATTCTTCGCAAGGCCTCGTATTGATATCTTTCAGTGAGGCAGGCACGACCAACAACGCTGAAGAGGTTTCTGATTGGCTGCAATGTCGGCACAGATTCCAGCAGGCCGCCGAAACCGTCGCACATTATTCTATCATCTGGGTCAGTCGTCATCAAACGCCTACATGCACTCTAGCTGACTATACCAGAGAGAGGACTCGATCCCTGAGAGCATCGCGGACAAGGTCTACGAGCATCATCAAGCTCACATAGAAGCCGCACACGCATGGCTGCGCGTCACCCTCAGTCTCCTGGAGAAATCAGAGATAGATGGCGAGGTACGCGGATGCGGGTGCTTTAATGTGCCCGCGGCTGTTATCTTACCTTTGCTTGCCAGGGAGGCGCGGTGCCGTTCAACATCTCACCGACGCCGGAGACGATCGCGCTGCTGTCGCTCGCGCTGGATCACAACCACGCCTACTTTCGACTTCTGGAGAAGGCAGTGCAGATGGTGTTGGCCTATCTGGAGCACGAGCGGGAAATTCTGCAAGCGTGGAGCGTGGAACAGACGATGAAAATCTCGGAACACGCCACGACGGGCGACTACCCTCGACGATTCCGCGAGGATTATGCAAGTACATGAATGCTGTTCTGCTAGTAGCGATTACGTGCTCCCCGCCATCTCTGCCTGACTGTCAGAATGTATTCGTATCCTATATAAGCACGTCAGATCGTCGCTCCCCCAGTTCTCCTTGATCGCTAGAACGACGATCTTGAACTTAGTGTCCCCCAGCAGCTCGAGCGTATCCTTCGAGATGTTGTACGTTTGGAAAGGGCGGCCGCTGCTCATATCGAAGGCGAAGGATCCGAGGTGGGTGAGGTGTGATTGTGCGAACCGGGACCGGCGGATTCGGGAGGTATCCGGGAATACGGAGGACGACTTCGACAGGGCGAGTATAGTGAGGTTGGAAATATGGAGGCCGGGAGGCGGAAGCTCATCCAATAGTCCCCACAAGTCACCTTCTCGTGGCGCTATCTGGTACCGAAGTGACATGTCTCGTGGGACGTGGTCGATGGTAAAGGAAGTGATGGTGGTGGGGCGAGCGAGAGAGATCCCCAAGGAACCCTGCCGTCCTTTCATCGGCCAGCAGCTGCCCACATGAGTGTTGGGGATGATGGCAAACTCCGGCGGGAGTCCGACTAGATCGGCGGAGGTTTCACGTTTCCTCCACCGTCCATACCATGATACCGTTCGTTCGTCCGAATATGTATCCGATGTAAGTTTGGGGATGATCCTAGCTCCCGAACCAATGGAAGCGTAGTCCACCAGTCCAGTACCGTCGTGATAAAGGTGCAGGTGTAGCTGGGCTTCCAATGCATGTATCCTTTCCTGCATGCGAGTCAAGTCCTGGAATGTAGGATACTTGTCTACATATCAGGCCAGTGTCAGTAAGAGAAAGGGTGTACAGGTGACAACTACGGTGCCCACCTGGCGCATGCGTGAGCTGCGTCACGGAAAAAATTGCGCAGCCGAGGGCGAGGACAGCGAGGACGTTTGAAAATATCCAGTGGGTAGGGGATGTCGAGACAGGAAGAAATGATACAAAGAAGAGGATAAGTTGCGACAGATCGAGCACCGTTACTCTCCAGTCATCAAGCAGAGCGGATGCAAGCGAGCGGATGCACCAAAGGAGTGCCTCGAGTATCATGGTTGCGGAATTGCGATGCGAGGAATGCGAGTCGCCCGGGCTGGCGGTGGACAAAGAGACCCGACGTCGAAGGATCTGGGCGGAGGATATCGCGAAGATTGGGGTCTGCGGACAGTACTTTAAGTACTGAGCAAAGTGATAGCGCTGGAATACTCTATTATAGAATTTCAGAGGGAGGTGATCGAATTCAGAGGCAATAAATACCTGTTTGGATTGTTTGGCTCCGCGCGAACTCGACTGGAGGCTGGCCGTGCGCAGGCGGGGTATTCTGTTACCGGGCACAGAGAAAGAGCTACAGAGAAAGCGCTCCCACAGAGTCAAAGGCTTGAATGGGACTACCGGAAACTTCGTGGCAGGATGAGATATGACTTGGAGGAGGAGGCCTTGTGTCTTGAAGACGAAGCAGTGCCGCGAGTGGGCGTCGGGCGCTAGACCAAGCGGAGACAAACACCATTTAAACGCTCAAAGCCACTGGCGTGGCGCGAATCGCCCAAGAGAAGTTGCTGTGAACCAACTCGAGCGGACTCAAGACCACACTGCAAAGTCGATCGCACCTCATAGCTATCTACTCTCAAGACCCAGGCAGAGGTGGTAAGGAGAGAAAATGGAGGTCTTTCCGATCTCTCATCTCTCAATCTACTGGCACCCTGTTGAACGCGGGCCGGTACCGCCGTCAAGATGCCCATTCCCTTGTCCTGAAAGCGCCTGGAACCACTCACTCTCCGTGAGGCTCTTCTTCAGGTATATATACTGTTAAAATCAGCTAAAGTTATATTTTGTCAGTGAAAGCACGAGAAGACCGCGTGTAGACGACGTACCAGAGCTCATGTGCTTCAACGGCATGGCATAGGCCGCGACAGGAATTCGTCGCGCCACTACCTCTTGGCAGAGGCATCGAGTGCACTTTATTCGCGCAAATATCGTCCCGTGCCCGTGCAGATTACGATGTCCCTTGCTTGAGCGATGGAGAGAAAGGTAAGGACAGGCGGGCGCTCGTGACACAGACCCCGAAGCCGGAGGGGCGTTCCATGTGTAGGCGGCGATTGGTCCATGTCGGATGACATCAATCTGGTGTAAGGTAACCAAGACCAGTCGCCGTTGATCCATCCGCGTTTTTGAAGCTGGAAACGCCTCTGATCCTTATTTGGCCTGGTCTGTTCCGTTGTCAGCGCATCCCGGATATCGGGCTACATTGTCGCTCAATCCAGTCCCTGCGAACGCGCTCGAAGCGTCAGCTGCATTTCCCAATTGCGACACCTCCAATCGGCATGTAGAGAGCTGGGAGCACGTCGTATCTGCCCCAACGAGGGTTTTAGCGCACTCGTTAAGCGATATGCCCGCGCCGAGCCGCGGCGCGCCATCACACATGGTCTCCCGTTTTACGAAACCCAGCGCGCCGCCAATTCCATAGCGGTGGCACAGGCACATACACGGAAATATGGAACTCGACGGCTGGCAAGGACCACTCCGGGACCGGGACTAGAGGGGACATATATGTTTTCGGCGTCAGGCCATAAACGGAGAAGATATACGACCGACCTGTCAACCCTAAGCACGCGCGGCACGTAGAGAGCTGGGAGCACGTCGTATCTGCCCCAACGAGGGTTTTGGCGCACTCGTTAAGCGATATGCCCGCGCCGAGCCGCGGCGCGCCATCACACATGGTCTCCCGTTTTACGAAACCCAGCGCGCCGCCAATTCCATAGAGGGGACATATATGTTTTCGGCGTCAGGCCATACTGCGCATGAGCGCAAACGAAGAAGATATACGACCGACCTGTCAACCCTAAGCACGCGCGCAGGCGCCATCCTTATCCTGCATTGTGGTCGCTCGACTCGTAGGTTGCACGGGAAAGGTGCTGCGTGGGTCGAAAAGTGATGATGCCGATAAATCGAGGATCGAGGCGCTGTCTTAGCCGAACTCTGTGCAAAGGCTTCTTCACTTGGCGGGAACAGCGCGTCAACGAAGTCTTGAACACTTACGAAAGCCTGTAGCGAGAAGAGAGAAAAGAGATGCCCGTGCGCTGGAGCAAAAAGGCATATTCTGCGGGAGAGGCGTTGGCGACCCCCTCTAGAACTAGGATCCGCGAGCGTGCTTACTGGCATCGCCGGAAACCGGCTCCATTCGTGCCCCGAGCGGAAGAGCTCATAATCTTCCATAGGACGGTCCGCACAGCACTGTTCCTACAGTGGTCTAAAGCACGACTCCGCGGGTAGTCGCCAACGAAAATCTTGTAGGGGGCCTTCAAGTTATCGTGTCCACCGCGGAACTGCACGGAGTACTTAGGCGGAATCGAAACGTGAGCTTCCTTGCTGATAATTCCAAGCAGGCTGTACCTACCTGCCCGCCTGCCGCTGCCGTTCCGTGAGTACCCAGCGGAGGCTTTTACTTGAACTCGTCAAAATCTCCCCTTGAGCGCACTGCGGGCGGTACTCGTAATCGGTGCGTCTCCCGGAGAGCCAACGCCTCGATGGGGTGGCCGGCGCAAGCAGGACGCGCGCAGCTTTTGGGAGTCCGCCAACGGTCAGAATCCTTCTCAAAATCTCTGTTGATCTCAGGGGCGTTCTGACGTGGGAAGCGGGGGGTTTCTACGCTTAAGCTTCACGCGTCCTTCCTGGGTATAATGTCAAGCGGGTAAGCCATGGCGCATCTAGGCCGCGATGATGCGCTAACCTCGCGCACCCCACTTTGTATTTTAAGTTGTGCATGCTACATTCACCCTCTCTGTCAGCGCACAAATTGTCGTCTCCCCGCCGCCTACGCATCTCCTATCTGTCTCCCCAACTCCCCGTCTTACTGCGTCCCCGCGTCCCCGCACCCCCGCCGCCCCGCGTCCCCGCGTCCCCGCGTCCCCGCACCCCCGCCGCCCGGCCATCCCGCCGCCCGGCCTCCCCGCCGCCTCGTCTTTCTGCCTTCCTGACTTCCCGGTTTTCTGTTTCTACATTTCCTTGTTTCCCCTTTCCCCTCTTTTCCCGTTTCCTTATCTCCCCACCTACCCGTCTCTACGGTCCTCCGGTCTTTCCACGATCCACCTGTCTCTCTGCAGTCCTCCCCAGCCTACTGTCTCTGCTCCTCATCGCAATCTTGCAGCCCCAGTATACTCGACCTGTTAACAACGTGGCCAATAGGAGATCGACATGTTAGGCACAGACGTTGAGATATATGCGAGCTAGTAAGCATCAGCTATTGCTCTTGAGAACGTTGCCTTACCACTCCCGATAGCACGCCGGCTTTCACCTTGTCCGGCTTCGTTCTTTCTTCAATGTACGTCGCGAGCTTCATGCCCTCCTTGCATGTTGCTCACCGCCGCGCTCGAAACAGGCTTTATGCAGGTCGGCTGTGGGCGGTGCTTGGTCATGGCTCGGGCTGACACGTCACGGCTACATGCAGTACTATCCGTTCAAGCCTTCGAATACCCCAGGAAGTGCGCAGAGGACAGGACGGCCTTGAAGGTCTTCGTGAGTGTTCTATGTTTGGGGAGACACATAGAATCTCAATCACGTCAGGTCGCCATGATATTCCTACTTGCGACGTCTCAGCAAGCTCTTTTTGCTACTATCGGTGAGCCTTCCCTTACTCGTTCGTGCTGCGTACCTGTTCCCCATCTTCCACATCCGCTTCCCATTCTTCGTGCACATGTTCCGACGTTACCGTGGAGAGCGACGGTTCTCCCTCCCCATCCCGCGCGCGCAGTTTACATAGATCACCGTCTACAGCGTGGTTCACACTAGTCAAGTCAGCTAATCCAGAGTACTACGGGGTGCTTTCACGGTGAGCTTAGCAACCGCGCTCTTCTCCTGATGCCATTCTGATCGTCCCCCTCAGCACGGGAGATGTAAGCATCCACGGTGCGAGCATAACGCAGACCATACTGACCTTCTCTGTGATCGTCTCGCTCCAGGTGCTGTCCGTGCTTAGTGTGAGCTCCTATCATCTGCCAATCCATGTCGCTGCTGACGGGTGCCACGGTAGACTTTCACTACCGTTATGGTACAAATGTACGTAGGCAAATTTCGCTGAAACATAGACTCATATAAGCTCTTGAATAGATTCTACGTCACGCGTACTATCAGCCGTAAGCGACTCAAATTATCAATACTTTCACTCTACTAACAAGTGCAACCTCTGCGTCAGTGAGCCGCACCTTGATGAGCCGCACGTCCTTCTGTGTGGCTGCGATCAGTGTAAGCCTCTTCACATATTTGCCTTGTGCATGTTATCTGACCGCTGGCTTAGCTTGCAACGGCCATCGGCGCAAGCGGCGAGTTCTATGAATCCTCCGCTCCTGTTTGATGTCGTCTCTTATACGCTATACACCGCTCAGGGATCTCGCTCGGTATGTTCCCACATAAGTTTATGTTCCTATAGATACTGACAAGGCGGTACGTTAGTGCTGTTCGTCCATAGGTCAGCCGCGCCCAATACTGTATCGTATCTGCGTGGGTATTGACGGACCACGGTCAGCTTACTTCCCCGTTGGCACGTCGAGAACGCTCTCATCGTCGTAAGTTGTGCCAAGGAGTTGATATATGCACGTCTCTCACCTGTTCCTTAGAAGCTCAATACGGTTGTCCATGCGTTCATGGCCGCCACAGACCTTCTTGCGCCGTTTATATTGTCCTGTCTGCTCGTCCGCGCGGGTAGTGGGACTCGGCGGTGAGTTGTTACGTTGGAGTTGGCCTGCCACATTGTTGATTAAGTCTCCGAGTCGATAGGTCCCTTAGGCTCACACGTCGCTTGGTAAGTAGCCCTCATTTATGGACTAGGCGCTGCGCTGATGTAACATGTATAGGTACTCCTTCAAGCCAGCAGAGGAGTTTTCACGACGTAAGTCGACGTGTTTCCTGAGCTGTTTACGGCGGCTCAACCACAGACATTCGATATACAAGGGCTGTACAAATCCTAATCGCTGTCGCAGTAAGCAAAACATGGGTATTGGCGTTCCACATCGCTGAAATTGGCCCTTTAGCTCTCCGTATCGCAAGATATTACATTATCCGACATGCTGACTTTCACCAGTCCTAGTAGTACGTTCGCGCACATGCATTTTGATTGACATAATTTCATCCGGACGCGTATACAGTATATTCACTATCGATAGTCCACGGTCTCTGCACCAGGCAAAACCTTCTCAACGAAGATGAGACGAATTCCATCCCCCATATATTCACGTTCACGGTCGAGCTATCAAACATACGCGCGGATACCGAAGGGGGCGAGCGCAGTGACGGAATGACGTCGAAGGTGCGCCTCAGCCGTTGTATGCTCCTCTCCCATTGCTGATACATATTCAGCATCAACCCAACGAGAACTCGTCTAGCTCCTTCCTTGAGTAGGCGTTTTCTTTGTTCGGACACCTCAGGCGTAATTCGGGCTTCATCGTAGCAATAATACGCACTTGCCGCTTGTGCCAATTGATGGCACTCCGGACGGTTCACATAATATGGTTACTCTCAGGCCCTGAACAACCGTCTGATGGACGCCGCTCTGGCTTCCCCGAGTGGCGTGTCGAGTGCGCGGCGCGCGCTGCGCGGTCGCGGTCGCGCTCGGCGCTGGTGCGGAAAAAATCCCATGCCCATTGGAGGCACCGCAAGTGATGGTTAGCATCTCCGACTGTGAATGCGCGTATGAGCAGCACAAAAGAGAACGTCCTGAGCGAGTCGAAGCTCACTATTGCTTTCGACGACAACTCTTCGAGTGACGTACCTCGAGTGACGTAACGGTCACACTAGCGTCAACTAGCGTGGGATAGCGACCCGCCCTGACCATGACGGTGAACCATCATCTCTAGCTTGCGCCTATATCGTGAAACAGCAGGGCGATCCGAGACGAAAGTGCAGCAATGCTCACGATGACCGAGTAAGTGGTGGAAGTGGCAAGGGACAACTACCGCTGATGGCTAAGACGTATCAGCCGCCCGGCTTGTTACCCAGGTTCTGCCAGCCACCATAACAAGTTCGCACGTGTAAAGGCCTGCTCTCAGGAATGGGCTGAACGGCATGCAACGGCGAGTAATATCGCTGAGCGCCACTGACATTCTGATATACACTCTTGACACTGTCCAGCGCGTACAGAACGTTGGAGAGCCCAGGAGCAGATTATACATGCGGAATTCCCAGCCACGACGGAGCGGACCGTGATTGGAGAAAGCGCATGAAAAAAGGGGGAAATACGGATATGGGTTTCCCAGCGGGTGGTCGTGCTTTAGCGAAGCGGTCTAGACCTGGTTCTTCTTCCCGGCTTGCTACGCTCACATCTATATTTCCTCCGGGTCCCGTATTTGCGTTCCGTTTCCTCTGGCCTAACACCATGTCCTGCCCCACCGCTGGCTCTTCGCCCGATTCTCCCGCTCTGTCACTCGCCCGCCCCCGACTCGCTCGCCCCCGATTTCACACCTCCGATTGACCCGCTCCGCCCACGACTCATCCGCCTGCGAATTGTTAGCTGAGTCGTTTAATCGCCCGCACCTCCGCCGCCGGCTCGCCCTCCTCACCCGCTCCCCTCGCCACCCGCTCCCCTCGCCACCCGCTCCCCTCGCCGCCCGCTCGCCCTCCTCACCCGCTCCCCTCGCCGCTCGCTCCCCTCGCCGCCCGCGCCCCTCGCCGCTCGCTCGCCCTCCTCACCCGCTCCCCTCGCCGCTCGCTCCCCTCGCCGCTCGCTCCCCTCGCCGCCCGCTCCCTTCG